AGGGACTATGTCTCTCGGCTGGCCTGGGAATGCCTTGGATTCCCCCCAGAGGAGCTGGAGGAGGTGTCTGGGGAGAGGGACGTCTGGGTGTCTCTGCTGAGTCTGCTGCCCCCGCGACCCGGTTCCGGATTTGCGGAAGGCGACGAGTACGAGTACGAGACTGTGAAAGAAATCAATTATTCCTCCAAGAAAACACTCAGGCTGCCTCACTTTAACCGACAGGCACCAGACAGGCTGATAATGACATAAGAAAGCCCACAAGCTATCATAAGAAACGATCCATAACCTGGCAAGAATGCAAAATCTATTAACAAGCAATAAATGTGAATACTTCCAGACACTTGTTATCAGACAGAAAAAAAAAGTATTGAAGCCATCAGTTCCTGACAAATGTTTTATTATGGCCACATTCCTCATCATTTATGTAAAAAAGATGAGTGAAGATGTAATTTAATGCTAATAGGTTCGGTCCATTCTCTTGCACTCTGTTAGAGGTGCACAGAATGAGTCTTGTCCCCTCAAGGGGGTTGGTTAGACCAAAGTTATACTGTCACAAGCATGACAGATGATTTTGTGGAATATAATTTCTAATTTGTGTGACTAATTGTATTTCAGACTGTGTCCATGTCTGCATACATCTCACTCTGTGCATGTTTTCCTGAATCAAACTGATTCGAAAAACCTTAGTTGACAAAAGCATTCCTTAGATCTGGAAAAGGTGAGCAGTTTAAAAGCTTTGATGCTTTATTCTGACTCTAACTGTTCAGCTGTAAAATAAGAAAATAACCTTCATCTCTGTAGCCATTTCCGCCCCCTTACAGTGCAGTAATATCCTCCATCCATCTCACTCTGCTGTGTCTCCAGACAACCCTAACCCTAACCCCCTACCATCCACTGTTCCTCATGCTGATGCAGGTGTTGCTTGCTTCAGTCTCTTTTATATCTTTAGATCATCACTTCTCCAAACACTTTCAGGATCTGTCAGTTTGTATCCTAACGTGTAAATAAGAATTCTTCTACCAGCATCTAGTGTGGAAAACATCTGCCTTCCGGCCCACCTGTCCCTTATCACCACCTCCTCTGTCTTCTCATTACTACTGCACTGTGAGTTTGGACGGGTAGATGTAGAGCTAGGAAGGTCCTGAATGGCAGCTGAAGCCGTGAGCTTTAATGAGTCCCACAGCACTGGCGCTCTGCCGTAAAGTTCTGGGTTAAACCTCTCATCTGTCCTTCTCACACACACTGACCTCTGCAGAAACCCTGTGATTAATCTGAGCTGTGGTGCTGCTGATGTAACAGCGGCCATATGATGAATGGCTGCTTTCTATGTGATAAGATCCTGTCTGATGCAGTGAGGAACATCAGAAACGATACAGATTAGAAACTGTGATTCAACCTCAGATAAACTGATTGGCTCATTTTTTCTGCACTGCAGTTTAGGTTTTTTAAATTCTTGCCTGAGTTTAGATCGTGAGGCACACCTGATTAGGGATGGCTGATATGGCCTAAACATTTTGTTACGATATTGTGCTAAATTCATTTTGATCACGATAAAAAAGTATTTAGAACTTATTTGCAGTCTTTTAGTCAACTGTGCAGTCAAAGCCTGAAATTTCAAATACTTTTTTGAAAATACTATTTTGAAACAGGATTCTTCAGGAAACCAGTTACATAAAGAAATTTGATTTGTACCTCTAAACTGCACATAGTAACTGCATTTAACCATATTTCTGAATATACTGATGCACTCATGGAAGAAACAGAGAAAATAGTAAAAGTAACAATCAGGCAATACTGGCAGTTTTTGGTGTTTCCAGACTGCTTTCACGATCAACTACCACTTTGAATCTGAAGTGTGCTGGAGCAGGAGAACATCTAAAACATGCAGCTGGTTAGGAAACCATAACTTAAGCAGCAGATAAACGAAGACATGCAGCTAAACAAATCATCAGTGATCAAGTCGGAGAACATTATCATGTCCATGTCATCGTTTTACAGAGAGCTCTGACCCACACTCAGGAGGCAGGTAAAGTTTTATGAGATTTATTGACTCAGTTCTCAAGTGAAGATCTTCAGGCACTGGTAGAAGGTATGGCAGGAGCCACGGCACATCTAAGGAGAGCCAAACGGCTTGACTGGTGGTAAGTATCTTGTGAAGTGATTACTTGAGCTGATTTACAAGTTTAGGGAAGCAGCACCGCCAGGAGGGAACGAGTGGGGTCCTCACCGGAGACTGGGTTCAGAACCAGGGATTCTGAACCCAGGCAACAGTTATGTGTTTAATGTCAGCAGTCAGCTTCACCAGAGTCTTCAGGAAACAGGAGCGCTGGAGGGTGAGCAGGGTTCGACCGTGGAGGGTATTTGAAGGAGGGGACAGACCAGTGCCAGCCAGGACTGAGAACCAGAGAATAATCTTGAGGCTTGGACACGGAGTCGGAGGAACCAAGGACGGGTTGGGAGCTGAGTCCAGTGAGTAGATATCCTGAAAGGAGCACAGATCAGGTAAACAGAGTCCTACACAGGAACTGAGAACAGAGCTAGGGAGGCTGGAGATTACCGCTGGTGGATAACACTCTGGCGCTGAAGTGCTGGCAGCAGACTCCTCTTAAACCTCCAGAAACGAGGCCAGATTGGAAACACCTGGGAACCTCACCCAGCCATCTCGCTCACAACACCATCTGGAGGATGAATACTGACATGACACACACAAAGGAGAACAAAGTCTCCCTAACAGTCAGACATTGTTTTAGGAAAAGTGCATGAGCAAAATTATTTTTAGTGATCTCCAACTGGCGCAGATCTGTTATGTTTTAAAAGTAAAAATAGACTTGACAGTTAGGGTGATCTTTGCTGTCATTTTATATTCCTTGAACTTGCTGTGTTACTCTTTTATTTGCTTATCATATTCCTTATTGAAATAAGTCAGCTGAGGTGATTCTGGCATATGATCCTGGGCACCTCCACCTGGAAGTTTTCAGGGGACGTCCGACTCTGAGGAGACCCTGAGGAAGACGCAAAACTCGCTGGAGGGAATACATCCTGTCTGGCCTGGGAATAAGCTGGAGGAAGTCGCTGAGGAGAGGAATTTCTGGGGTTCCCTTTTGGTCTGATGGATGGATGGACGCAAGGATGGATGGATAGATGGATGCATGCATGGATGGATGGATGGATGCATGGATGAATGGATGCATGCATGGATGGATGGATGGATGGATGCAAGGATGGGTGGATGGATGGATGCAAGGATGGGTGGATGGATGGATGCAAGGATGGATGGATGGATGGATGCAAGGATGGATGGATGGATGCATGCATGGATGGATGGATGGATGCATGCATGGATGGATGGATGGAACCATGGATGGATGGATGGATGGAACCATGGATGGATGGATGGATGAATGGAACCATGGATGGATGGATGGATGGATGGATGGATGGAACCATGGATGGATGGATGGATGGATGCAAGGATGGGTGGATGGATGGGTGAATGGATGGATGCAAGGATGGATGGATGCAAGGATGGGTGAATGGATGGATGCAAGGATGGATGGATGGATGCATGCGTAGATGGATGGATAGATGGATGCAAGGATGGATGGATAGATGGATGCATGGATGGATGGATGGGTGGATATTTTGGGGCTGTTGTGCTCTTGGCTGGGGACCCACACAGTGTGTAATTAGCTCCAGAGCACAATGGATGAAATTATGTTGGGTCATCAACAGGATAAAGTTGCAGTAGATGACTGATGTGTTTGCTGCTCCAGTGTCTGCTACCGACAGCTCCAAACATCCATCCTTTGCTCCCAGCTCCGCTGGAATATTTTTTCATCATGTTTTCAAGGTTATCTTTGTCTTGCTACCATCTAATGTTGATCACCGACCTTTTTTGCATTGGATTCCTGCAGGCAAGACAGCCTAATTCTCCCCAATCTAGATCCTGTGTACTGATGTTCCGGGGCAGTGCCAAAACTTGTTTTTGGTCTATTCTTTGTTCTGACTAATCTTTCCAGAATCTGCATCAGCCTACTGCAATTAATTCAGGCCCATAAATCTAAATATATATCATAGCCTTTTGGGTTTCTCTGTAGGATTGTCAGGATTTCAGGAGGTGGTTATACCTAACCTTGTCAAACCACCTGCATCACATTTTCATTCATTATAATCACCTTCTATTCAGTCAATGAACCAACTAGTCAAGGTCCAGGGTTTAAATCGCTGCCTAGGGTTTGCCTGCATGAAGTTTGCATGTTTTCCCAAGTTTCCTCCCATTGTCAGTGAGGGTATTTGGTCTCTCTAAATCTCTAAATCTCTAAATCGCTTAAAGGAGTGTATGCATGGTTGTTGGTCCAGATGTTTGCTCCCAGCTACCCAGAGGAGTTAAAACACGATTAACATTGTGGATTATAATTAGTAGAATCATTTCTTACAGACAGAGACACACCTAAGGGACTGAGGTATGAAAAACAAGGTTCCTACCACAGAGACCCTTCCTGTTTACATTGGTAAACAGAAAAAAACAAATTAAACATGTTGGAGGTGCTGAGGAAAAACAGTGGAAATGCTAAAATAACTGAGACCAGTTAATCCAGTTTCGTTTTATCACTGTGCACCATGAGCATTTAACTTCATAAAATTATGGAGGTTGTTGATGGCTAAACATTCCGAGAGATCAGTGGCAGCATGCCTTAAAATGATATTCATCAGTATCGTGGAGTGACTATTGGAGCCATTGTAAGGTCATTCAGTCATTTTCTATACCGCTTCTTCCATAGTGGGTCGCAGGGGAGCTGGTGCCTATCTCCAGTAGTCTAAGGGCGGAAGGCGGGGTACACCCTGGACAGGTCGCCAGTCCATCGCAGGGCAACACACAAACGACCAAGCACACACTCATTCACACCTAAGGGCAATTTAGAGAGACCAATTAACCTGTGAGAGGAAGTCGGAGTACCCGGAGAGAACCCACACATGCACGGGGAGAACATGGAAACTCCATGCAGAAAGACCCCCGGCCGGGAGTCGAACCCAGGACCTTCTTGCTGTGCTACAGTGCTACCAGCTGCACCACCATGCAGCCCCCATAATAAGGTCTAAGTCACAAAAGTATACTTATTGAGCACCTTTATTTAGCGTTTTCCAGCAAATTCATACAGTACATATAAGTACTATTGTCATCTAGACCAATCAGACATAACATTATGACTATGGTGAAGAACATTCTAAACAACTGTCGGCATGCCAAAGTCTGGCATTAGTAAGTTCACCCGCAAAGCAGACCGCAGAATAATAAAAGAAGTCAACAAAAAACCCATAATATCATCACAGGACCTACAGCAGACTGTTCCTGCTGTTAATATCAAAGTACATGCCTGTACCATAAAAGAGACTGCACAAGATTAGCTTTCAAAGGTCTGCAAGCAGGAAGCTTTTGCTCTCAGAAACGGGGACAAGTTTGTGGCATCAAATTTTTCAGAAATTTGAGCTACTGGAGCTCAGCGGTTAGACTAGACTACATCAGCCAGGCCTCAATGAGCCTGTTAGCGTTCCTTCCTTGAACCAGTTTTGACTGTAACCACACTGAGGTCCACAAACAGGATCCTGGCATTCTTTCCTGGGTGGTCAAGGTGTTGGAGAATAAAGTGTATTTTTGCCCGGTAAGAAAATTGCAGGGGGTCCAGCAGGGGTCCTGTGATGTCTTTCAAATGCTTCAACGTCAGTCGCTCAAAGAAATTCATGACCACAAACGTCAGGATGACAGGCCTTTAGTCATTTAACCACATAACGGTGGGTTTCCTCGGGATTGGGATGATGGTGGAGCAGGAGGAGACCTCACACAGTTCCAGAGACAAGTGAAGATCTGAGTGCAGAAGGCTCTCAGGCAGGAGAGGGACACACCGTCAGGTCCTGGAGCTTTTCTGATCTCCTGACATTGGACAGAAGTGACTTCTTTGCTGTCTTCTTCTCATAAAGCCATTGTCTAAAAGTCTTTTTAATAAAAAGTGGATCAGACAGCTTCAGCTGATCCAGAACGCTGCTGCCCGCGTCCTCACTAGAACTAAGAAAGGGGAGCTGAAGTCCTTACACTGGCTCCCTGTAGCTCAGAGAATAGAGTTTAAAATACTTCTGTTAGTCTATAAATCACTGAATGGCTTAGCACCATAGTACATTGCAGACTTGTTGTCAGTGGATCAACCACCCAGACCTATCAGGTCTTCTGGCTCAAATCTACTCTGCATGCCCAGAACCAGAACCAAACATGGAGAAGCAGCTTTTAGTTCTTATGCTCCACTAGTCTGGAATAAACTCCCAGAAAACTGGAAAAGAACTGAAACCCAAAGTTGCTTTAAATCGAGATTAAAAACGTATTTGTTCAGAGTGGCCTTTGACTCGGCCATCTAAACATTATTAGTTACGTTTTCAGTCCAACTTTCCTTTCATTTTCTTATCAATTATTTTATCATTAATTTTTTATTTATCTTTTTTATTATCTTATCATTTTAATTATTCATTTTTATTCTCTTTAATTATTTGTGTTTGTTAATTATTTAATTACCATTATCCCACTGTAATGTACTGTTCCTATTATGTCTCTTTTTCTTTTTTTCATGTGCAGCACTTTGAATTACCTTGCTACTGAAGTGTGTTAAAAATAAACTTGTCTTGCCTTGCCTTTTTTGTACATGTACTTGCACCCATTGTGACATTTGGCACATATTGTAAGGAAAGTTGTGTGGGTCGTGGGTTTTAGGAATAGGAGTCTGTAGCAATACAGTAATGTACAATTTTATGATTGTAACTGCATATATGCTTTGTATAGTTTTTTGTGTATCAGGGACTGCAGATGGAAATTAGATTGAGAGCTAGAAACTAGTATAAAGCATATTCCTTTGAAATTAATGCTCCTATACATGATCCCTGTTCAGTCAACTACAAATGACCTGATGTCATAGTTTACAAGCTCTGCACTGGTGGCAGCACAATCCTGCAGCACACTCCACAGGAGGTGAGGACTTTTTTGCTTGCTGGGCACTCTTGGAAGTCCTGAAGGTTTCTTCTCTGAAGCTGAAACTCTAATCTTGAAATTGTTGATAATCCAGAAAAGTGTTCTTTCAGCTACAATATTCAACCATGTCCTGTATATGGGGCTGATTTAATACAAAGTGAAGATGTTTATTTGGGGGTAGCAATGAAAGGCACTGATGTCATGCACATCTGCCAGTCTTCACTGGTAATCCTTCTGCTAATTATGTTGATAGAGTGAATGGACGCTTTCACAGCTTCACCTGTGCTGAAGGCATGACTGACATGAAGGCAGCTCATGATAGTCATTGTGAGTGTTAGTGTCATTACGGTGTGTATAATGCTTTCCATTAATGAAGGTCAGGGTAAAAAATCTCTGCTGTCATTATTTTGTGGGTCAGAAGTTGGAAGTTCAAGACCTTTAAGTCTGGTGTGTAAAGCTTTGTTTCAGGGGGGAGGTTTTTGAATAGTTTGTTCTCTGCAGCCTTGTCATTTGGACAACATTCTTGTAATTTCTCAAGTCAGAGCCTTCTGGTTAATCTTTCAGCCTCATTGCAAAGGCAATTACAGCTTCTAAAAATGAGATTTCCTATTTACTGCTGCTGTTTTTTTCCGGGATCTGGATACCTGTTAGATGCTAATAATTGCATTAGTGTTGGCACTGGTTTCAGATCAGGCTCAGCGCTCCAGAAAAACCCTGATCAATAATCTAATCTTTAAAGTCTGCATCCTTGGCACCTCCAGCAACACCTTCAGCAACACCTGTTCTCTAGATGCAAAAGCAATTAATGTTGCTGTTATGACCGATTATCGAAATTTACCTCTATTATATATAATTCCCTACCCTGTCTACACCGTGAAAAACCACACAGCTGACATTGCTTCTCTGCTCCCACAATCCTTTCTTGTTAGGAGAGGCTCGTTATTTCGGGCACATCTCAATGAGAGGAGAACCGGACAGACAAACAGTTAAATGAGTGGCTGAAGCCTAGGCAAAGCGGGATCTCATCAGCTCCTGAAACCCAGCGAGACATTCAAATTTTCACGCTTTCTTAGGTTGCATGCTCCCATTATTTACATCTAACGTATCCTGGCAAAGGCTGTAAGCTGTGTGCATAAACCTTGGCATGAGAGAAAAAATAGGCACAATTATTGCAGCTTAAATAAATGATGCTCTGAAGGGATGAAAGTGGTCTCTTCTGACAAAACCAAAGCAGAGAATTTCATTTTCACCACCCACCTCTCTGTGGGCTGTGTTAACTGGCACTAAATCCGAGATACAATTAAATGATGTGCAGAAATATTGGCTTGTGAAGCCTTTATTGACGTTCTATAGCTACTGTAGAGATAACAGGTTCTTCATTGACCTGTTTGGCTGGGTGTTGTAGCAGGTTACATTTGATATTGAAGGGATCCTGAACAGTAACACCTTCAGGTGAAATGCATGTGCAGAACATGTGTTTGTGTACAGCTTTACTGAAAATGTTCAAGAACATATAGATTTACAGTCAACAATTTATTTAGCAAATCAGAAAAATAAATAACTGTTTTTGTACTAATTAGATTTGCTTTTCTCTTTCAGGGCAGGAGAACCAACACAACTCCATGAGTTTGATTTGGGTAAGTAAAACTCCCTGCATGCTTAATAAATCACACACAAACCTGGGCTGCTGGATGAGAAGGGGTGAGGATCAGAGAGTTTATGCATGAACAACAGTTTCAAACACACACACACACACAGACACAGGGCGAGAGTTTCAGCTGAGAGTCGGGTTCATCCCTCCTCTCTGAATACTAAACATCTTGCTGCTTTTATCCGCTAGCCTGGAAAACGAAAGCTGCTCCAAGTTATCTGTGTGTGAGAGTGTGTGTTGGTGTGCAGCTCAAACTGCTTATAGGGTAACAACTGTTTCCTCCAGCTGTCTGGTTTTAAAAATGCATCAATTGCAGTTTTCTTGGCCAATTCCAATTTACGATTCTGGAAAAGCTCTGACTCACAGTTTCAAAATTTTCTTTAACTGCTGGCATAAAGTACTATTTATTTTTCCTATTTTCCTGTTGAATTGAAGATTTTAATATGTTCATAGCAAACAGTTCCAAAAATTGTTTTTCAAAATATGCTTCAAAACTTCACCAAGTTATAGCGGTGCAATGAGACCTTAAATGTATTATTCAAATTTCAAGTTATTTCTAATGCAGAGGCACATCTGTCTCTAAGTAACTTTCCATCTGCAGTCAGCATGGCTTCTCTGGAGAAATGATGTGTTTTTTGGTACTTGGAAGTCAGGTTTTTAGATTTCCCAGGAAGACATTGAAGAATACCCTATCAAGTAAAAATTTTACTGGGGAATTCATAGGTTCCCATATAGTACTCTGCATGGTTGCTGCATAAATAAAATGTAGGAGAAAATGTTTGCATATGAAATGCACAAAGACCAGACCAAAGTTTGTGAGAGAACACAGACAAAGACCAGAACCCCTTGAAAACTGTTCTTTGGTAAGATGGGTCTCAAATGTAATGATTTGGACACCAGAACAGATTGAAAAGAAAGCATTTCAGGAAAGTAACCTCATACTAAAGGTAAAGCATGGAGGTGGAAGTGTCATGGTTAGGAGAAGCTTTGCTGCAGCAGGACCTGGCCAGCTCACCATCATATAGTTATTCACTATTAATTTTACTGTGTATGAGAGGGTGCTTGAAGAAAATGTGAGACCATCTATAACATAAATTTAAGCTGAAGCAGAACTGAACCCTAAAACATGACGGTAAGTCCACCTAGCACTGGCTGATAAATTAAGACATTAAAAATCGGTTGTTCTAAACTTTTCAAATCACTGTATTTTTGGAAATCCAAACAAACTGAGAAGAAATGTTCGCTTTGTTTCCTGTTATATGCTGGTCTGTAACCGCACGAATGTTTTTATCTTTCTTTGTTACTTCACCTTGAAAACAAACAGGCTTCTACAGGTTAACTTAAATCCCAGTAGGAGGGTAGCACCATAAGCTGTTTTCATTTCATCTGATTGACAGTCATTTGACATTTAAAGAAACGC